ACGTTCTCGTGCTTAAAGTGCTGCAGCAGCCGCATCTCCCGCAGCATCCGCTTGCAGTCGACCGCGTCCTCGAAGGCGTTTGTGATCTTCTTAATCGCGACCTGGTCCCCGTCCTTTGTGTCCTTTGCGGCACATATCAATCCGTACGCGCCTTGCCCGACCCCCTTCCGCACCTCGTAACGCACGTCCACCTCAAACGTGGTGCCCTTGACCACGTACTGCCGCTTCCCTGGGCCAGCCATCCCGCGGTGTGGATGCAGCCGTCGCCACCTAAGGAGGGCGGCGGAGCCGATCACCCCGGGTCACTTTACCCGCGTGGCAGCGCCGGTGCGGCACAGATGCGCTGAGAGGGGCAGGATCGGCAGAGCGGAGACGGGCAGCGGGAAATGGGCGCAGGAGGATCCCCCTGGTCGCACCTTGCTGCGGCGCGCCGACCTGCGACAAGGTTTCCACGCGGGTTTTCTATCTAGATGCACCCGGAATTCTTGACTGAAGAATTCTTCACTTAGTGTCTTGTCTTGTGGTTCTGTGTGTCGCTCCTGTGTGACCGTCATCGCCCGTCTAGCGTCCACCCATACCGCGTTGGTGTCCCAGTCGTTGGTCGGACTGTGTTTCGCCTTCCCATCAATCAATCAATCGGTGAGCCGGAAATCACAGCGAGCCAGTCCGCGCGCTTTTGCCAGTGTGCTGTGAGAGAGGCTTCTCTTTTAAGAATTCTTCACTCCATGTCCATGTGCATACAAACATATGGGGGATTGTTTTGGGGTTTGCGGCGGCGGCGGTATACGTCGTCCCCGCGGGAAGCCCCGCGCATAGGAACGTCTGTCCCACACACGCACAGACGCCCGCCGGGGCATCGCACCTAGTTTGGGAGGGACGTCCATTCATTGATTGCTCTTAAAGCGTTGGCCTCTTTGCTCGTTTGCTGGGACCTCTTGAAGTCTCTCTCTGCTCTCCTGTTGAAGTGCTCCCAGCGTCTGCACGTACATGCTGCTCACGCCGCTCGCTCCCTTGGGCCAGCAGCGCGTTGCATGCGACACCACTGCGGGTCCCTTCACCGTGCTGCTCAACGAGTCGCTCTCTCCGCTCGGCGTGATGCGTGTCACCGACCTCGTAAAGTCTGGCTTCATGGAAGGCCAGTTGCTCTACCGGGTGATCCCTGGCCTCCTTGTCCAGTTCGGAGTGGCTGCCGACCCGGCGGTCACCGCTCGCTGGCAGGGCAGGGCGAGGCGCATTGCGGACGAGCCCAACAAAATGCCCTTCCTCCACGGAACTCTCTCCTTTGCCGGCGCGGGCGTCAACTCTCGAACGTCGCACCTTTTCGTGGCGCTATCTCCGAATGGCATGCGGCTGGGCCGGGGGACTCCGCACGAGTCGACCCTCGGGCACGTCGTTGAGGGCATGGAGACCTTCGAGCGCGTCGTCGCCAACTACCGGCGAAGTGGCTACAAGGACACCGGCTCGTTGCAAAGGGCGCTCCGCACAAAGGGCAACGCAGCCGCAGCAGACTTTCCCCTTCTGGATCGGATCCGCGCTTGCCGGTTAGCGGCGAGGCGCTAACCGCTCGAAAGCCTAGTCGTAAGCAGTAAGCTGCCACAGCTGCCCCGCCCTCAAGCCTCATCATCCGACCCCTCAACCGCTCAAGCCCGACTAGAAGCCCGACGCGAGCGCGGCCATTGCGTTGGGCTCTCCTCAGCCAGTGCACATACGTTCTAGCTCGCAGGGAGAAATGCTCAAGGACAGATTGGGAACAATGAAAGGGCGTTGTGTCCGAGTTGTGAGGCGAGGCGACGTGTGTGCGAGGCCGAGGGGAGGGTCGAGTGCTCCGCGAACGAAAGGCCAGAGCGTTGTGTTTTGCCTTTGAAAACTGAACAGTTTTTTTACATACGTGCGCTTAAGGCCCGCAAGCGGGGTTGTTTCGTGTTTAAGTATCGGGGGAAACTAACCTCCACGTCCGCAGCGTACTCGTACCTCCTTCAGGAAACCGCCTCACGCTAGGCTTGGTCCGAGCGAGCGGGCATTCCGAGCACAAAGCGCGAAAGCTCATCCACCGCCGCCGCGAGGTTGCTGTTGGACAGCACCAGGTCGAACTCCGCCTCGTCTCCGTAGCGCAGCATCACGTCGAGGTCGTCGACTCGGACGTCGGCGTCGGGCCGCTCGGCGCGGATCCGCTTCACCAGCTCCTCGCGCGGCGCCGTGACAAAGACGAAGCGACACCCCAGCTCGTCACGCAGGCGCCGGAAGGACTCGGCCCCCTTTGGCTCGAGCACCTGCAGACAAACCTTCCCCTGCTGCGCCGCCTGGCGCGCGGTGGCTCCGGATCCGTACTGGTTGCCGCTGTACTCGGCCGTCTCGACAAAGGCGCCGGCGTTGGCCAGCGCCTCGAACGCGGCACGGTCGACAAAGTTGTACTCGCGCCCGTCAACCTCGCCCTCCCGCGGCGCACGGGTGGTGTGGCTCACAGCGCGCAGCACGCGGTCGGGATGCCGCGCCGCCACGGCGTCCTGGAGCGTGGATTTGCCGGCGCCGCTGGGGCCGACGAGCACGACGACGGAGACGTGTTCTCCCATTCTGTACGCGGAGCGCGTGGAGACGTGCAGTGCAGTTGCAACAAGACGGCGCGGTGGAGTTCCGGACCGTTCGCGAAGGGGCCGTCGGCGGGCGGCTCCGGGGCGCGTTGCAACGCGGGAACGCAAAATGGATTGAAGAAATCGGGAGTTGGGCCGCGGAGGAATTCGTGGGGATCGGCAGGCGGCGGCGTCGTCGCAGAACGAGGCAGAGGAGAGCGACGGGACAGAGGATGAAGCGACAGGAGAGAGAGCGACGAGAGTGGGACGACCGCGAGGTGGCATGAATGAAGCAAGCAGGCATGAAGGTTGCATGCAGCTTGGTGCTTGCAGGATGCAGCGAGAATCGGCGAGGGACTGACATAGGAAGAGGCAGACTCCCAAGGGTGGGCGACGGCTAGAACCACACTCCTCTCCTTAAAATCCCTGTGTGACCTGTGTGGTGGCGGCGTGCCGTCCTCCCCATCCCTCCCCTCGCCCTTTTTGTTTTCTTTCTTTCTTTCAGGAATTCGCGGGGGGGGGGCCGGGATCCTGTCCCGACGAAACTGTCGCTTTCCGACGAAGCTGTCACTTGCTGGGTGGTCCTTGGACGAAGCCGGAAAATTTCCTAGGAAATTTCCGAGTGAAAACGGACAGCGATCAGCGTGGACAGGAACGTGGCAAAACGGCGGCGACGAGGGCACACAACCGCGGTCGATGGCCTCGCCGTCTCGCCACTCGCGCTTTTTCTTCCGCGATGGACATCCTTGACCGTGTGGGTGATTGCAGATTCATTGCAGATTCTTCTTGGCAGCAGTAACCGTCGCCTAGTGCGCGCCTCAGACGGCGCCGGCCCCGCGTACGGTGTTAAGAGGTAGAAGAGTTGTCGTGTGTTGATCGGCAGACACAGTCGGCATGTTGTCGTCGGTGCCAGTTTTTCAGCCTCGAGCTTGAAGGATGAGAAGCGCGCAACGATGACGCGGAGAGCGAGAGTTCAGAGTTGGCCAGGCAGGACGCTGCGCGGCACGCTCTTCTTAGGATATCGTGCGCAAGGTTCTCCATCCAGCCAGCGCACCTCCTTGGACAGCACTGGGACAGCACTTGGAGCTACGAACGATAACGGAACAGTCACTGCGAAACTTCCCGGCCTACAAAATGCGCCTGCCCCTGCGGGCGGACCCTCACAGATCACAGATCACTTCCCGGCCTACCAAGATCCAAGTGACGGTTTTTGCCCCGAACTGACAGTAAATTCTTTGACAGTTTTCGCGGCCAGTGACGCTTTTCGCACGACGTATCTCTATAATTATCTACACCTTCGCCTTCGGCATGCCTGCCTGAGGCTGGCTGGCTCTCTCTGGCAGCCGTCAGTCATCAGTCACTCCCCGACCGACAAACAAATCTGCCAGTCTGTCGCTTTCCGATGAAAAGCAAACCCGGTCAACCTCCTTCTCCTTCCGTCACCTTTCCTCCGATCCGATCGAAAGAAATCGAGCTCCAGACTCGCGCCCCCCGGCTTTCCCGTTGGTGGCAGTGCCGTTGCTCGATGCTGCACCTCTGCTGCGCGGCGGCCGCGGCCTTCTCCCACGCCTTCCCACCCCTCGAGGTCACCGGCCGGGCAGTGGGGGCAAGAGGCGCCGCATGCTCAGGGCAGGCCTCCGCGGCGCCCGCCGGCCCAGGCGCCACCTTGCGTTCACGCTCGTCCACCATGATTATGGCTGAGGGAGACGACCCTGCGGAGGTGCTGGGAGTGCGTCCGGGTGCCTCGCCCGCGGAGCTCAAGGCCGCGTATCGCGAGCGGGCCAAGCAGTGGCATCCGGATCTCAACCCGACAAAATACGCCGCGCAAAAGTTCCGACTGCTGACAGAGGCGAGCCTCCCACTCCACTGCCGCCCTGCCTTCCGACGTGCACCGGCTCACAGCACACCGCGTCTTGCGCTCTAGGCCTTCGAGCGGCTGACCAACCCCAAGGCGTCCCCATCCCCGAGAGCGGCGGCGGCGGCGCGAGCAGCGGCGGCGAGAGCGGCGTACTCGGAGGAGGACTGGATGTCCAGCGGACAGCCGCCTCGCCCTGGCCGACCTCCCGGCGGCCCGGGGCAGCGCAGGGGGTGGTGGCGAGGGTCGCAGTGGGGGGCGCAGGCGGAGTGGGACGGCAAGCGAGTCTGGCCGAGCAGCAACATCGCGGTGCCAAACGGGGCGCCCGACAAGGTACCAGCCGAGGCGGGAGGGCCGTCCGAGGGCATGGGGTGGGTCAAGGAGCGCGCGGCGGCGGCGGCGCCGGCGCCCGATCTGGAGTACGAGGCCGCCAAGGCCGCCAAGGCCAACGAGTGGTCCGCGCGAACCAAGGACTTTCTGAGCTCTACGCGCCGGGACGGCGACTCGCCTGCCGCAACAGACGGGCAAGCCAAGGCGGC